GTCTCAGTAAACACAAATAGTTTTGAAAGAATCAGTTTCAAGATCCACATCTTACGTATGTACTCTTTCTTAAAATTGATATCCTAGGGTACCTCAGTGGATCAGGTATCAGACTTCAGCTCAGGTCATAATCTCACGGTTCATGAGTTCAAGCCCCCTTCAGGGTCTCTGATGTCAGCACAGAGTCCGCTTTAGATCCTGTGTCCCCTTCTCTCTCTGCAGCCCCCCAACTCATGTGCACATGCACGTGCTCTCTTGCTCTCAAAAATAACAATAAATAAATATAAATAAATAAAAATGGTATCTTGAATACTCCCACAGACCACAAGTTTCTCTTTTCTGCCTCCCCTTTCACGATGGCTTTTTTCTCCCTTTGCAAAAGAAAGGCCTACTTCTAACCCATCTCGTTATTACTATGATGCATTCACCCTGGAGTGAGAAAGCTTCTGCAACCCCAAATGCAAGAACAATTGTCAAATATATGATTTTTTTTTTGCTTATATCTCTGATTGAATTTAAAGAAATGAAGACTACCACTATAATTTGATTTTTTCATCAGCTTTTATTTTAAATGAGTGTTCTCTATACCCTTATCAAAAAAATTAAAACAGGAATAAATGTCACTCTAACAACTAATTTTTTATTCTCCCATAGATACATATACAAATTTTAACAGCCTCACTCATCTCAATAAGAGTTTTAATAAGACTTTCCTTCTATTTCTTTACTAAAATTTGTAAAATGTTTACATATTTATGTAAGATATGGTTCATCAAGGAATTATGAGGAATAATTCTTTTAAAAATATACATCTAGTAATATGAACAAGAAATATCAAATATCACTTAAATGAAGCATAGTTACATAAGGCATATCCATTGCTTCTCTCTCTACACCGTTTGATTTTGTGTTTATCTCATGAAAATACATGACTTTTTATTCAGTCACAAAATTACCTAAAGAAAAATACATTCGTAGCTTCTGCATATATGTCAGTAAGGGAGAAGATGAACAAGGATTACTCTTTAAGAGAGCTGGGGAAAAAAGAAAAGATGAAATAAATGGACATAAAACACTCAACTAATACAAAAAGAAAAATATTTCGTAGTTGAAATATAGACATGCATTTGAAATGCTGGCATGCTTTCTAATATAATTTTCAGCACTTTAATCATGAGGTAGGTTTGCACAATAAAAAACAGTGTGATTAAGTGGCAATTATATGGTCAATTAGGGCTTATCGATGATTCAGGAAAAGAGAAAAAACACTCTCCTTAGGTCTTAAGGTTTGGATTAGATATTTTGACAGTTCGAATACCTGCCTTTACAGTTAATGATCCAGCAAGTCTCAACTTCACTTTTTATAGATTTTTTTTAGTGCACTGAGGCACATCACATAAGGTCAAACAAAAGGTTGGAAGTAGTGAGTTTATTTATTCAATAAGCATTTATTGAAAACTTACCTTGTCCTAGGTCTTGTGGAATATAAAGAAAACATGGTTTCTGACCTTGAGAACTTCAGTCTATAATGATATCATCTACATACATCTCTTTACACATCCCATATACACTGATGACCACCAAGGTCTTATCCCCAGAAAATGTCTTCTGGGAGGCACAAAATCCTATCACACAAGGTCCTACAAACATCTTAAATTGAACATGCACACACACACACACAAACTCATTTTTCCACACACCCTCTATATACAAACATCTTTGTGAGTTCCTCATTATATTAATGGCATCTTCATGAAGCTAGACTCTTGTAATCCAAACTTAGAAGTTATTCTTGATTTCTTATTTGGATTATTCAGAAGATCCAGAAAGATCAAATCCTTTTCTTTCTGGCTCTAAATTATTTCTTTAATCCTTCTCTTTTCCCGTAACAGTTCTAACCTAACCCATTCACTTGTTTCCTTGCGTCCATCCATTTACACTGCTCCTCTTCAACTCTGCCACTATTTCTGGGTCTCTAAAACTTCTATCTGCTCATACACCTCATTTGCTTAATACTCTACACTGGCTCCCATTAACCTATAGATTAATGTCCAAACTCATAATAAATCACGTAGGAACCATCATAATCTGACCCCACTCACCTTTCAGGACCTAACCACCACCACTCCTACCACCCCTGCCACCTGGCCTCCTCCATATACTTACTCTGTTCCAGTCACCCCCACAATACTTGCTGAATGTGTTATGTTTTTTCACATTTCTGAACGTATTATTCTCGAAGGTCCTTCTTTCATTTCTCTGTCAAAGGCCTTCTAAACATTTCAGACTTAAGATGCTTTCTCTGTGAAACCCTTCCTTGATTCCCCAGGCCAAGTTTAGTATGAACATAGCACTTTGTACATATCTTTGTTATTTATTAAGTACTCATTTACATCCTTACTTCCCCCATTAAACTATGAACATCCGTAGGTTTACAGTCTAATTCATCTTTTTATTCCATTACATAAAGTAGAAACTCAACAGTCTGATGGATGAATAAACTCCTAGGCATACTAAGAAGAAATCTGTGAAATGATATATATAACACTTCTTAATCAGAAGAAAAAATTCTAGTTTTGTAGACCTAATATCCCCTACTTCTATATTGTCTAAGATGTACCAGTCTTCCACTGTATCTCAGTCTTCGCCATTCTTGAGAAGGCTTTTAGAGCTTTTAGTGTGACACACTTAAAGAATCTTGATGCTGAGGGGTGCCTGGGTGGTTCAGTTGGTTAAGCATCTGACTTCGAATCAGGTCATGAGCTCACAGTTCGTGGGTTCGAGCCCCGTGTCGGGCTCTGTGCTGACAGCCTGAGCCTGTTTCAGATTCTGTGTCTCCCTCTCTCTCTCTGCCCCTCCCCTGTTTATGCTCTGTCTCTGTCTCAAAAATAAATAAACATTAAAAAAAATTTTTTTTAAAAAGAATGTTGATGCTGAGGCAGGACTTTTGACATATAAAAGAGGCATAAATTATACTATGATAATAAGAAAGAAAGAAAGACACACCGATGGTCTGGGAATCTGTAAACAATTATAGATATGATATATTTCTGTTCGTGATAGAGAATGGAGATTAGTAGAGAGGGGCTCATACTAGGGTTCTTTTTAAATAGAATCCACAGTGGGTGGTGCCTGGTGGCTCAGTCAGTTAAGCGTCCGACCTCAGCTCAGGTCATGATCTCATGGTTTGTGAGTTTGAGCCCTGCAGGCTCTGTGCTGACAGCTGGGAGCCTGGAGGCTGCTTAAGATTCTGTGTCTCCCTCTGTCTCTTTCCCTCCTCCACTCACACTGCCTCTCTCTCTCTCTCTCTCTCTCTCTCTCTCTCTCCCTCTCCCTCTCCCTCTCTCAAGAATAAATAAAGATTAATTTTTTAATAGAATCCACAGATTACCCAGCTCCAATATGAACCCCATCAGTTCCAGTTTGGAAGTGAGATGGAAAGGGGAGATATGGATGTGAAGAGGTGAGAATGCATAGAACCTATATGGGTCTGCGTAGACACAGTGTCAGACTTCAGAAGGAAGGTAGAGAGAACGAGTTAGAAGTCTGAGGAAAATCTGTCAAGGAACTCAGATCTTTATGAAGTATACTAATTCATATCTTATACCCTGTACTTATTTTTTTTGTTTGTTTTCTTAGAAAGGAAGTGCATTAACACACACTAGATATATTCATTTCACTGCTGCATAAGAAATTATTACAAACTAGGTAACTTAAAACAATACCATTTAATAGCTCACAATGCCATAAGTCAAAAATCTGGGTGAGGCTAGGTTCTCTGTTTAAGGTCTCTCAAAGCTGAAATGAAGGTGTCAGCCAGGCTTGGCTAGTCTCTTACCTGGAGGCACCAGAAAAGAATCTACTTCCAAGCTCATTCAAATTATTGGCAGAATTCAGCTCCATGCGGTTGTAGGACTGAGGTCCTTGTTTTCTTGTTATCAGCTAGCCTGAGACAGTCTCTGCTCCTAGAAGCTTCATGTAATTCTCATGAGGGGGCCCCTTTATTCTTCAAAGCCAAAAATTGATAATTTCTCTCAAGTAGAATTGCCCTTATGCTTCAAACCTGTAACTTTCTGCTCTATCACCAGCTACAGAAACTCTCTGCTTTTAAAGGGCTTATTTGATTACATCAGGCCCATTTGTATAAATTTCTTACCTTTAAGTCAATTAAGCTATATAGCACACACTGATTATGAGAGCAAAATCCACCATATTTATTGTCTCCAGGATTTGCAGGACAAGGACACCAGGGGGCCATCTTAGAATTCTGCCTACATCATGATCTCACAGTTTGTGAGATCAAGCCTGCTTCAGGCACCATGCTATCAGGCCTGATCCTCTCTCTCCTTCTCTCTCTCTTTCTCTGCCCTTCTCTCTCTCTCTCTCTCTCTTTCTTTCTCTCTCTCTCTCTCACTCTTGCTCTCAAAATAAATAAATAAACCTTTAAAAAAAATAGAATTCTACCTACAATTCCAGGTAATGTTTCTTTTGTTTTTTTCTTCTAATGATGCAATTAAATGTCAGAATCACAGTCCTCAAGATCTAATAGAGTCAAGAATGGACATTTGTTATTTGTGGATTCCAATATTTCCTTGGTAAATCTGTATTCCACCAGCACTGTTCCATCAAACTTAATTTTTTTTAATATTTATTTATTTTTGAGAGAGACAGAGACAGAATGTGAGTGAGTGAGGGGCAGAGAGAGAGGGAGACACAGAAGCAAAAGCAGACTCCAGGCTCTGAGCTATCAGCATAGAGCCCGACACGGGGCTCGAACTCACAAGCTGTGAGATCATGACCTGAGCCAAAGCTCAACCCACTGAGCCACGCAGGCACCCCCCATCAAACTTAAGTTTTAAATTGTTCTATTCACTTGTAGAAAGGAGCAAATAATTGTCTGAGATCTATAAGGAGTGTGAAAAAACTTAATTTCTCCCTTGTATGTACTTCTTCATGGGTCCATCTCTATCACCATTTTTTTCCTCATTTTGTCCAAAAAGCAAACCACATGAAGCCCCTGTTATAAATGAGTATGCTGATGCCCAGCTACACAACTTGGTGAGAAGGATGCGTCAAAGAACAATCCTCTACAAGAAAAAGTTGGCAGAAGGAGATATATCCTCACCTGAAGCCAGCCCCCAAACTGGTAAGCATTGTTACTCAAAGTACTGGAAAGAAAATAGTATGAAGGGGCATGTATTTTCAAATATCTTAGCTTGGGTTCCCCCAAAAGCAGACCCTGCGACAATGATTTAAGTACAGATAGTTTGTATTGAAGGTGATCCAGGAAGGTGAGAGCAGATAAGAGAGATGGAGATATGAGTTAAGACAATAAAGATGTATTGATGAGATGGCTTCTTCTGTAGGCCCTAGGACTTGATCCAGCTGAAAAACTATGTGGATCACACTTAAGAATTCTCCTGAGAAACCTCCACACTGTTTTCCAGTGGTTGCATCAATACATATATTCCCACCAACAATGCGCAGGATCCCCCCTTCTCCACATCCTCACAAACACTTGTTATTTCTTGTCCTTTTGATACTAGCTTTTCTGACTGGTGTGAGGTGATATCTCATTGTGGTTTAGAATTGCATTGGCGTGATGCTGAGTGAGGTTAAGCATCTTTTCGTGTGTCTGTTGGCCATCTGTATGTCTTCTTTGGGAAAAAATGTCTATTCAGGTCCTCTGCCCATTTTTTAATCAGATTGTGTGGAAGGTTTTTTGGTGTTGAGTTGTATAAGTACTTTATATATTTTGGAGAAAGAAGCTGGGGTATCGGGGCGCCTGGGTGGCGCAGTCGGTTAAGCGTCCGACTTCAGCCAGGTCACGATCTCGCGGTCCGTGAGTTCGAGCCCCGCGTCGGGCTCTGGGCTGATGGCTCGGAGCCTGGAGCCTGTTTCCGATTCTGTGTCTCCCTCTCTCTCTGCCCCTCCCCCGTTCATGCTCTGTCTCTCTCTGTCCCAAAAATAAATAAACGTTGAAAAAAAAAAATTTAAAAAAAAAAAGAAGCTGGGGTATCAATCCACCAACTGTTTTACATTGGCTGAAGGTTGTTGCTGGGGCATGTTGCTAAGTCTCCAACACTTTAAGTAAGCCAGCTCAGAGAAAACCCTGAAGAAGAGAGACACAGGGAGCCCTCTGCACATGACCTCTGGACCTACCGTATATGAACAAGCCAACAGCAATATCCACAATAGCAAGTTTTATTGTAAATATTAATTAAGAATACCCTTTATACACAAAGCATTTATTATAAAAATATAAGAACACTATCTGAATATACAACATAGTAGTAGAGAACATCAATAAACTAATCACATGGGGGGCAATCATCAGCTTCCCTAATAATTTCAGAAATGTGTTTATGAAAAATTAATAAATACAATAAAGTAGAGCACAAAAGTGATATATATTATGAATACATCTTTATAAAAATATTTATGTATATATAGAGAGAGAGACAAAAATAGAAAAAGGTTGTTTAATAACAGTTCAATAAAAGTTAAACTGTTAACATATAGAGTTAAGGGTTTCCTTTATAAGGAAAATTCTGTATAAGGTAAATTGGATTTTTAAAATAAACTACAGGGGATCCTGGATGGCTCAGTCAGCTAAGTGTCTCACTCTTGATTTCAGCTCTGGTCATGATCTCAGGGTCAGGAGACCGAGCCCCACATTGGGCTCTGCACTGAATGCAGAGCCTGCTTTGGATTCTCTCTCTGCCCCTTCTCTGCTCATACATGTTCTCTCTCTCTCTCAAAATAAACAAATTAACATTTTTTAAATAAGTAAAAAATAAACTACATATTGTATAGTAATTTCTTTTTGAAAAGAAAAGACAGTCATTGTATTTTGATAAACATATGTTGAAAAAATATTTTGAGCTTTATTTATTCATAACTTGAAAGATATATGCAAAACCCAAGAAGCATGAAACTAAAACCTTTAGAATGATGTAAATTTTTAATTTTCTTTTCAATGTAAACCTAAGGACTGACTTTATGCTACAAAATATGTAAGAATTAAGCTTGTACTTAAAATATCCTATTTGTGGTGTGCCTGGCTGGCTCAGTCAGTAGATCATGTGACTCTTGATCTCAAGGTTGTGAGTTTGAGTCCCACATTGTGTGTGGAGATTACAGTAAATAAATAAAATAATATATCCCATTTGTAACACCTGTAGGATAATTTACTAGTAAGCTTTACATCTGTTTATTTCCAAATTCCAGTATTTTCCTTACATGGATATTGTCATTAATGTCACTGTTTTCAATGTCAAAACATGCCTATATTGAGAAGGAAAAATTCTGAAATGTTCTGACTTTGAGAAATCCAAGCTTTTTCTCATTTAGCTAACCTGACTTCTTAAAAATGTGTTTATCTCTTTTTTCCCCTATAAAGCAAAGCCCACAGCTGTACCATCAACACAAGAAAGCAGTGCTAAGCTGAAAGAAGAACATTACTATCACATATTGTGTTTTAAATTCCAGAAGATGCCTCTGACAGAGTATCTAAAGCAAATTAGACTTCCAAGAAGCATAGATTCATACACAGGTACCATCAAAGGGTGAAATTCTCAGTGGGAGGGCTGGCTATTATCAAGAACTCATGTAACCCAAAGTCACCAATGACTTCTTTTTTTCCCTAGCCCACATTCTAAATCTGTCTAGAAAGCAGAACATAAACTATATCAAATATGCAATGGACTGTTTGGGCCTCTCTGGTGAAAGCAAGAGATAAAATATTCCTGCCTATTTTTAAAATGTATGCCAGAATAATGTGAAGTAAAGTAAATGTATAACCACCAAAATAAATAGATGATAGATAGATACATAGATAGATACATAGATAGATACATAGATAGATAGATAGATAGATAGATAGATAGATAGATTGATAGATAGATAGATAGATAGATAGATAGATAGATAGATAGATAGATATAAAAAGCAGTCCGGGGTCTATTCTGCCAGTAATTACTTCTGAAAAGAAAGCTCCAAAGTATTCAGCTATATGTACACCCACACCCCTCCCTAAAAAAGTAATTATAAAGTATCTATCTTCTTCCATCCTTTCACATTGTTAATTATTCTAACTGAACAAATCCCTTCCTGTGGCCTCCCTCCAGCAGAAGAAAGCAATTGTGAAAGGACATGGACTGTGTTAATGGACCGATTCTCTGCCCTCTCACATCAGCCATACTCATTCAGGCAAGATGTGGCCTTTTTGTCTACCTGCCCTGGGTGATCCTGAAGTTTAACTCCTGATGCAGAAAAGGCTTACTGCCGCAGTTATCCAAACAAGGCACCTCTGACTTCCCCTGAGTCTCCTCTTCCTTGATCCATATAGCACACTTACCTGTGGGGACAGACTTAGCATGGCCACTTCTTGGCAAAGAAGAAGGCCTTTCTCCAATGTTAGAAGAGCTGATAAGATCACTCAATATCCCTTGTAAAACCCAGTGCTTTAGACTCTAAAGGCAGAATTGTACTGAATGTTAATAGAACCTTTTACAGTAATTTTCTTATCTCCAGAGGACATTGCTCCAACATTACCATTACAAGAGAGTCTTTTTTAATGCTTATTACATGCCATTTGGATTTTTCTAGATCGACTCTATCTCCTGTGGCTCTTGCTTGTCACCATTGCCTATAACTGGAACTGCTGGCTTATACCACTGCGCCTTGTCTTTCCGTATCAAACACCAGACAACACACGCTACTGGTTTATTACAGACATCATATGTGATATCATCTACCTTTGTGATATGCTATTAATCCAGCCCAGACTCCAGTTTATAAAAGGAGGAAACATAATAGTAAGTGGGGCTGGGGAGAAGCAGAAACTGACAAATGAATATCAGATTGGACAACAAAAAAATAAATTAACAACATTGTTTATTTAATATCTGACTGTTTCTGTCTGTATGAGTCTTTAACCACTAAAAACCACCAGTATAACAACAACAACAACAACAACAACACAATCCTTGAGGATTCACTGTGTTCTGGGGACCATGCATCTCCCTGTGCTTTAGTTTCCTCATCTTAAAAATAGTAATAACAATAGTACCTTCACAATGTTGATGGAAAGACTAAATGAAATGATGCATGTAAAGTGCCTCGAGCTATGTCTGATGCCTCATGAGTGCATTTATTTACGCTGCCTCACCTAATCCTTCCAGTCACCCTATAAAGAAGATGTTATTGTCAACCCCATATACAGGAGATGAAACTGAGGTTTGGAGAGGGTAGATGATTGCTCAAGGCACAAAGCTAAGAAAGTAGTTGAGACAAGATTTGAACCTAGACCTTTACTGCAAAACCCATGTTCATTACAACTGCACCATGTTGGTTCATGTTGGTAAGTTTTTCAGACTTTGATAATATGTGACGATAGAAAGATAATACCAGGTCTGAAATGTCAAAAACATACACGTACTTTACCTAAATAATGAAAAAAAAATAAAGTATGAATTATCAATGCAAAAAGAAGTAATTTAATATATATTTCTCTAGTAATCAAGCTTCATATAGTCCACGAGGCAGGTACTTTCTACCACATTGGAATCTACCATTCACCTCAATATTTTTTTAAATAAGGCAGGTATTATTTCACACATAAAAGTCTACTCAACCTCCTCAGGAGATAGCCTGATGTTGTTCGAAAGCACTAGTGTATAAGATTTTTAGGACACAGACTGTATCCTGTTTTTATAACTGTATAGTCAGCACTGAGCACAGCACCTGTACATAGTACAAAAAAACAAATCTAAAGTGTTAGGCCTTGACACTTTGGGAAAACCTAACTTAAAAAGAAGAGAAAAGCTGTCATGACCCTTTAAATCAGTGTAGATTCACTGCAATGTCCAATATAGTGGCCACTAGCCAGATGTGTCTGTTCAAATTTCAATTTCAATTAATTAAGATTAAATAACATTAAAAATTCATGTATCCTAGCCACACTATCCATATTTTCAGTGCCCAATTTTCATTTGGCTAGAGGCTACCATATCCGAGAACACAGAATATTCCCACCATTGCAGAATGTGCTATTAGATGGTACTATAACAATAAGCCATCAAGTTCTTCATCAAAAGAGCCAGACTGTAAGTAGGAAGCCACACAGCCTACAGACAGGTACAAATCACAAGCACAAAAGACACACCAGTTGTTTTGTGATTTTTTTTTTAATTAATATGGCATCTACTGGCTTATATTCTTTTCACTCTTCCACTTTCCAGACTCATCACATCCCAGTTCTCATCATCAAATGCAGTGGCTTACCTCAGAAACTAGCATTGTTACCCTTAGGAGAAATTATCTTCTCTTAGATTTATCCTCAGTATTGTGGGAATTTCATAAGCAATCCTGTCAGTCTAAGACAGAAACAGAAGAATATGTTTTCACAAGCACATACCCAAATCTTAAAGCCTCTACTCTCCAGCCCCTTCCTCAACTAACTAGAAGGATGCCTCCTTTCCAACTGGTGTCCATGTCACAATCTCTGTGAGGGTGGCACAGAACAGATCCTCCAGTGGATCTGTCACAGTAGGAAGAGCAGACCAGTGGAATATATGGCACCATGGTTGAAACATATTTTTTAAAGAACAGAGGTGGGTTCCTTCATCTCCCAAATGTTTTCTTTTGAATCTCCAGACAATCTTAAATTATCAAAAAGCTAAAAGGAGTAATTTTGGTTATTGTTGTTTTATTTTAGAAAAAATTTTATTTGCTGAAGAAATCCTCCTATTATTTGAAAGTTTTCATAGAAAGAAATTCTGAAGGCAAGAGCTAAAGCTGTTACAAAAATCTATTCAAAATATTCCTTGTGTGGACTTCAGAGCACTAGTCAGCTCACCAGCACTATCCCCAGAGCTCACTGGCAGTTTGATGAATGATGATGATGGTGTACAAATAAGAAGTAAACAACACACAAAAAAAGAGTGCTAATTTCAACCTCCATTAGATGCACAAGGGGGGAGAAAATCAATGTTTGACAAATGGAAAATGACAAAATCAGTAAGGGGAGACTTATTTTCAATTTTCTAAAAGGGCTTTACACACAATGGAGTGTTAAAAACAAGAAAAATAACCAATAAAAACACACTCAACGGACTCTATTTAAAATGCATTATCACAAACTACAAATACAGAGCAGGAACTAATTGCTTTGTTTAGTTTAATGGTTTCTTTAATTTAGGATAGGTAGTGTTAGCCTTTGAAACTTGATTACATTTTGGTAAGAAGACTATGCAAGTTGAGAACCCAAACTAAAGATCTAACTACATTTAGCTATCTCTGCTACTTTTGGTGTACAGAGACAAATTATTCATTCACTCATTCATTCATTCAACAAACATTAAATACTTACAGTTTCCAGGTATTTCAGGGCTGGAGAATGGGAATATTAGTTCCCCAAGGCCTTGAAAAGTAGGTAACGAACAGATTGAAGTGCTAAAGGCCACAATATAGGGAATTGAAGGGTTTACAAGTTTTTCACAGCATTTATTTGCAATATCTTTATTCTGAAAATTGTGCTATTCAAATAGAGAACAAAATTTTGTATCAAAGAACAACTCTCTTGCTGTTACTTTCCTTTATAGACTGCAGAAATAGAGCTGGAAATGGCAATGAGGATTACTGAGATAGGAGACTCTCATACACACAACAATGCTAAACCTACCAATCACAACAATCCATGGAAATGCTCAGCGCCATCTAGTGACAATGCCAATCAGGCCTGCCATTATTGTCAACCACTTTTGGCACTTCATCTTCTCAGTTACTCTTTATAAAGTGACCTAAAGAAAATTAATCACTCCCTTCTGTGCGCTCTGTACACTTTATTCATAATTCTGTTATTTAATTGTTAAGTAAAAATTGGGTTAATTATAATATAGTAGAAACAAGCAGACCAGGGTCAAATTCCATCTCTGAAATTTAGTAATAGCATTATTTAAAGAAAATGCATTTACCTTTCATCCATAAAATGGGAATTATAATACCCACCTCATAAACCTATTGTGAAGAATAAGACAATGTGTACACTGAGGCCAGACTCTGGAGTCTAAAAGATATACAGTAAGTTGTTGAATGAATCAAATGAATGAATATCCACACATTTAACTTCCCTTATTGTCTCCTATTTTTATATGTAGCTCTCTTTCTTACCTGATAATAAGTTTCTTGAGAATAAGGACAGTATTCAATTCATTTGCCTATTTTAGGAACTCAGAGAGTATATCCAAGAAATGTTTGAAGGAGTGAATGAATGGCAAACTTGGTTCAAGAATCTTCTTTCCTTGAATAATTATTTAATCTGCATTGTAGTTGTTTCAGATGATATTACTATTTTTTGAAACATTTCTATCTGTTCTATGTGAAATTATGGAGTTTCTATGAATTATTTATCAGAAGAAGTAAATATAATCATACCTGGGTAAAGCTTCTTCACAAACTATCTGTTGGAAGAGGATTTAGGTGCAGTCAGCATATCTATCCTTCATAAAGTAAGCCTCCCCTGAAAAAAATGTTGCCGGCATAATGACAAGGCTTAAAAGAGAGAAAGAGAATTAAATAGGGCAACATTTTTTAAATAAGTGCCTAATTGTTAGCAGTAAGCATGCAGATCCTCATACAACTAATAATACCTAATTTATTTAGTGCTCCAAAGAAAATTTTAGAATCACTAGATGGCATTTCCTCTACTATAACAAGTTTTAGTTTCATTTACATTTATTCAATTATAGGATCATAAACAAGCCTAAAAGTAAAGGGATAAAAGTGCTAAAATCATTCTTCCAGGGTTGGAGGAGAGGGTGGTATTTTATCCTCATAGCACTTGAAATTTATCTGTCAGTCCCAGATGAGCTTTGAAAGAGCTGACTGATTTTACTCAAGCTCAGTACATGATTCAACTTAAACTACTGTCTAGGTCTTCCAGTGGCTAAATAAGTCATTGTGTTTCACAGTCAAATCATTAGATGAGCATGTCTTATATTTTTTCTAATATATTTCTGTAAGATACAGTATATGTGCATGGGTAAAAATTATAGCCAAAAAATGTGAGGGGAACAGGAATTGGTGAGTTGGCTAACCAGTATTTAACATTGCTTGGCAGTAGTTTAAAACTTCTGAGCTTGCACAGTCTGGATGATAACTGTTAGAAGACACTGCTTCCATGTGTCCAAATTACAATACTTTGGTCAGATCATCAGTAATACATAGACAATTCCTCCCTACCTATAACTAAAATATAAGAGTATAAATCCAGTATTAGCATTAATTCTTTTAGATCTGAAGAGTGACAAATGCTTCTTCATCTATCGCTTATCATATATTTATTGGGCACCTACTATGTGCTAAATGTTGCATTAGAAACTGGAAAAAGAAGACAAAGATATGGACCCCCTTAAGTAACTCACCCTATGAAGGACAGACAAAAGGAAAATGGTGAGGTTTTGTAATGTGAGTCATGACAGAGGTGAGCCCTAGGGGTTATGAGGTACAGAGAAAACCATGTGAAGGAGAGGACACCTGGTCCAAATCTTGATGAATGAATTTCCATTATCTGCACATCTCCATCCCACAAAAAAGGGGGAAAAGATAAGTTCCAAGCTCTGAGAATAGCATAGGCAAAGTCATGAAAGTGAGAAACTGGTGCATCCGAGGAACTGCTGAATAAAGTGGATATGGGATGCTACAGGAGGTGAGTGAGACAAAGTAGAGCCTTATAGACTATGGAAGGGAGTTTTTTTTTTTTTAAGTCATGTAGAAACAGAGGATTTCACATAAATGGTGATTGTTAAGTAATCTGATTTACTGAGATCATCTAGCTGCAATTATAGAATGGATCAAGGGGAACAAGACTAAGGCAAAGAGACCCATGCCAAAAGAAGAGAATGGACATCAGAAAAGTGTAGGAAGAAGAATCATAGAATTGGTTTCTGGTTGGATGAGGACGGAGGGAAAATGAGTGGTCTAGGATCACTGACCAATATAGATGAGGATGCTCATAGGATACTCAAGAGGAGGAGGTGGGAGGATGATTAGGCTTGAGGGGAATGAAGAATCATGATGAATTCAGGTCTGGTATAAATTAAATTTGAGATAAGCAGAATTGCTAAGTGAAGAAGACAATAGGCAGTTGTTTGTGTGGGTCTATAGCTCCAGAAAGTGATATTAGATGGCAGTAGATCTTTGTTAGCATCAATGTACATGGGTATATTTGAAACCATTTAAGTGGGTGAAGTTTTCTAGGAAGCAAGTATAAAGAGGAGAAGAAGAGAGCTAAGTCCTGGGGAATGTTGCCATTTAAATGGCTAGCCCTGGAATTAAAGGGAAAAAAAAGTCACCAAATAGAACTGAAGACGTAAATGAAAAATGGCATTACAGATTCTTTGGAAAGAAAAAGTTTCAAAGACAAATATCAAATTTTTTAGTCATCTCTTCATTCCTTGATCTGTTTATCCACCTAATAAGTATTTATTGGATTCCTAGTATATTCTAGTCACTAACTATATACAGTTGCTAAACAAAGTCAACCCTGTCCTAAGATAGATTATCATTTAATGGAATACACTGATTTTAAATAAATGAGCCAAGAAATATGTGTGATTTCAAAACATGGTGAATGCCATAGAAGAATACAAGGATTCCCTTGGTGTGATCATTAGGACGTTGTTGGTGGCATTCATATTGGTCGTCTTAATGGGAAGAGAAAAATGAGAGCAAGTCAAATTCTCACCAAATTGCCATGGATCAAGGAGGAAATTTGAGGGAAGGATGCAAAATAAAGCAATGTAGGCAACTTCTTTAGAAGCTTGAGTGTGACAAATAATAGATCAATAGCAAAAACAAAACAAACACCAAAGAAGATTTTTATTCTGTTTTAAGAGATAAGAGAATAGAGCATATTTATGGGCTGAAGTTACAAGGAACCAGGAAAGAGAAATAGGTATATATATTTATCACAGTGAGAAAAATAATTGATGAAATTGGGTAAAATTAATCCAAAATATCACATTTCAGGTGGATTCAAATGAGTTAAAGACACACTACAGGAGTTCTACAAAATTTCAGGTAGGTGACTTACAATTTCAAAACTGTGCAAGTTATCCATTGCCATTTTGATTTTAAGTCCCATATACAAATTTCTTTTTTCAAAATCTGCTTCTTTTTGAATTGTAGCTTTTGTAACAAAGTTTATACAGATGAAGTTCTATTAAGCAAAGGCAAACCTGAAGTTTTTGCTTCTCAATAATTACATGGTATACTTCCTTGAATGTGCAGTTCTTTATATGCATCTTTATCAAGCACAACAAAATGTTAGTGCTCACATTTAAATTCTGAATAAAATATCAGTAAAGAAGTATGGAGTGTACAGTAAAATTTTGGATCATGAGTAACTTGTTCTGTGAGTGTTCCGCAAGATGAGCAAACATTTCTAATAAATTTTAACTTGATAAACGGGCAGTATCTTGCAATATGAGTAGTACATGATCCAAATGTCACATGATCACAACTGAACCAATGGTTCTTGAAATTCGCTTTGATATACAAGTGCTTGGGATTGCAAGCGTGTTTCCAGAATGAATTGTGCTCACAAACCAAGGTTATACTGTACTTTGTCTTATTCATATAGAATGCTAGCTTCCAATTCACATACCATGTTGTAAAAGTCTGTCAAATTGTTCTACTCCTATTTCTTTGTTGTTCATATAAACAAAATAGAAAAGAAGCAATTATTTATATAATATGGCACCCTCTTTCCTCAAATAACAATATAATTGTATGTTTTTTCACTCATGATTATTTACACCCAAATACTTTGTTATCTTTTATTTGTCCCTCCTACCTTTGAGAAATATAGATTTGGGAGATATCCAAGCTTACCTAACTTGTGTAAGTCCAACCTCCCATTTCAAGAACACTTCTGTGGCCTCGAATTTTGTATAAAAATACAAATCTGGGTTTAGGAACCCTATTGTCCCCATTGGCAGTCTATGGTGATTAAAATCTCTTTCAATTTGTTTTTATCTCCAACTAATTTTCTTTGTAAAAATTTGCCACATACTTAGACATATTCATAATCTATGCTACTTTGATGAACTCCACAAGAGGATGTATATTCTTTTTAAGTGTCACAAAACTTATTCTAAACTCTTAATCACTGTCTTGAATTTGAATAAAGGCAAATTAACTCATACATTTAATGTGGGTTTACAAATGTAAAATTTTACATTTATTCAATTGTGGTCACTCATTTTGAATTCTCTTAGCACATCCTGCTTGTCTAGTTATTTTCGTGATTCATTATTCCACTATTAGATTGTTAATTTCTTGTGGACAGAAACAATATTTTACTCCTATTTCAATCCCAAAATGTTTTGTAAAGTGCCTTGTACAGAGTTCAGTATTGGTCAATTCTTACTCTATTCAATTTTCTACAATTCAATGAGAAATAAATCATCTTTATCTAACACTAGCGTGTTAATATCAAACACAGCTAATGACTACATAGAGAATTAAAGTGGGCAGTTGAGCAATTGGATAGACAGCAAGTAAAAAGACCATAATTCTGACATATTAGTTCTAATAAATTTATTTTAAAGAATTTAAAAAGATTATTATGATTTGAGCCAGAAAACATGAGTGCTGCAATAACACTAGACAAGTTAACAATTCTATGCTCCTGCTTTTATACTTATATGACATTATTTTAATAGCTGTTCTGTATTCGTCTCAACTTGCTACAAGGCTCAATATCTGTAGGGTAAAATTAATGAGGTTTGAGGATATGATATAATTTATAAACCAATACTATCTGTAAAGAATTTGTTTGTAATAGCCAGTCTGATTAATTTAAACTAAAAGTTTCATTTCTCTTTAGTAACACTAAGTTATTGTGAAATTCTGGTATGCAATTAATTACCTCAACTTTCCATTTCATATGCCTTACAAAAAGCCCTTAACTACTCTTAAATGTTTTAAATAAATTAAATGTTTTTTAAATTACTCTATTTTTCAAAACTGTATAAAAATTAATGAAAATGAATATATCTTACTAAAAGAATTTCCTATTGTTATCATTGCAATCAGGAAAGTATGCAAGTGATGTTGCCATTTTGCAACTGCCAGGATAATAGAAGACGAGAATAATTAAATACATGACATATTTTAATATATATATTTTTTGAGCTATAATAATACTTTTAATACTTTCAACTCTTATTGGAGTTACTGATTAATTGTAAATGGGACTGGTTCCTTTCCTCTATCTCAGCCTGCACAGTGTCTAAGAGATAGATTTCATAGCAGTTTATTGTTAGCAATACCATCCCGAAGAGAGAGCAATAGAGAGAACTGAGGTATCTGGAAGAACCACCAACAGTATAATCAGGCCTGAATACTGGAGTATTGGCTGAAACATAAAAATATGCAACTGTGTTTAATGTTCAATGGTTTCTAATAAAATCAAGAATTGACTTGACTTTCAGTCCAAATCCCCATGTTTAAAACACTATTAAAATGTATTTTAACATTAGCAACCATGCCATCTCTGAAGTATATGTGACAGCTCAACAGAAATTACAGAAAATGCAGAGCCTAAGGAGAGCTCAGATGCATGAAAGTGGAAATGAAAAACATTGGAAGTAGACTACAAAATAGTGTTGTTATTTTCATGGTGCTAATATACCTTTCAGTGACACCGGCATACTTAACTGAAGGCAGTTTTGTATTAAACAACAAATAATTCATGGTACCCAGTCAGCTCTTACATATTGGTATAAATCAATCCATGTCCAAAAAAGCACATAAATACAATGATTGTGAATATGTTTTTCCAACAGCTGGATGTTGCATCAATAATGCCATTTGATGTTTTCTACGTCTTCTTTGGGTTTAATCCAATATTTAGGGCAAATAGGATATTAAAGGTAAGATAACTATATTTAATTTCTTTTTATAATCTTGAAATGATTTAAAATGTCCTAAAAGTATATTTTTAATTTTTCCCAAACTGTCCATTTTTCTGCCCTTATCAATGCTATGAATTTTAAAACTGAATGAAGGAAAAACATCATTGTTTCTACTAATGGAAGTTGTTTTTGATTATTCTATGTCTCACAAGAGGTATTTTTATAATCTAAGATAGGAATGCCTTTGTACTTCTACATACAACTATAACTACAAATGAATCTTTCATAATTATATTCTTTCCCATTTGTCCTTTTTCATTAGATGGTCACTGAATACCAGGAACACAGGCAGTAAAATGATAGATTAGATTACCTTTAAGTTATGTTACTCATCTGTAATTCTAGAAGAAAACTGCAAATGCTTTTTGCATAACAGAATTGTTTACATATTTAGATATAACTCAAATATCCACCAACAGGGAACTAGTTAAATACGTTGTAGGACACCTATATAATAGAATACTTTGTAACACAAGAAAGAAATAAATAAAAAGAAAGTTTTGTATGAACTTATACAGGAAGACCTTAAGGATAATTTTTTTAAAAGCTAGTTACGGAATAGTTTATGGAACATTACTAACTTTTCTATAACAGAAAGAAGAAAATATTCCATTTCTTTGTATTTATATAAACAGTGAAAAACTACCAAATGAATTTAATAAAAATGGTTAGCTGGGGTGGGGATGGAAGGCAGGAGGGAAAATTAGAATGAATAGGGACAGGAATGGGAGCAAGACTTTGAAAGGCATATGTTTCCTATTGTTTTTAAAGTGTGGGAATGCATTACCTATTCAAAAAGAATCTAAGATATAAACATTTTATAACTCAGCTTCATCAGGCACCTAAAACAAATCTGAGGAGAGTCAGGACGTGAAATTTCATGTAAATCTTTAAAAATAGCAACAATAATGTGTTCCCAAAAACAACCTTTATAAAAGGAACACCAAAGATTTTATAAATTTTAAGTGGTTATCTCTCTCACATCTTGGGAAGACAATACAGCATAATCTGGGGACATGGTGGAGCCTGACAACAGCAGCAATAGCAGCAAAAAAAAAAAAAAAAAAAAAAAAAAAAAAAAAAAAAAAAAAAAAAAAGCAGCTGCTCTTTGTTGAATACATGCTTGGGGCTGCAAACTTTGTCAAACTTAATATTCGTGACACCATTTATTCCTCGAATAACTTCATTTTAGAGATGAGGATTAGCAGGGTGAAAAAATGTAGATTCTATCACATGTTTTTGACTCCAAATTTTTTACTGTAATCAAATTGGCAAATAAACCTCAACCTGAAAGGGCTTTCCTTCCATGCCCATAATTTTTGGTTTTTTTTTTTTTAATTTTTTTCAATGTTTATTTATTTTTGAGAGAGAGAGAGAGAGCCAGGAAGGGGCAGAGAGAGAGGAAGACCCAGAATCTGAAGCAGGCTCCAGGCCCTGAGCTGTCAGCACAGAACCCAATGCAGGGCTTAACTCACAAACTAAGAGATCATGACCTTAGCCAAGTCAGATGCTTAACCAATTGAGCCACCCAGGCACCCCACCCATAATTTTTTTCAAGTTGAAAGGGACTTTCCTTTATATTTTAACACATTTAAGACAACTCTAGAGATTTCTGGTTTCACCTTGGAATGTGGGTCTAGATTGGAGCAAAACTTAACCTTTCCAAACAACTTAGCAGGCAGGCCATCCCTCATCAAATGTCTAATCACACATGAAAGTTGCCAGAGATTCCTGCTCAGAGATAACCAACTTTCCAGGAAGACTCAGGTTCCTATGGATTTGGGAGTTTGTCTGGCATTATAATAAAAACTTATAAAAAGCCAACTCTTTACACCTCATCTCTGTATCTCTGAAGTGTCCAAAGACTCTCTATATTCAATAGCCTTTTTAAATATAGAATACCCTGAAAGTCAACATTGATCTTGTTTTCATAGCCCAATAGTCTAGTCATTTCACAAATAAGTGTGTCATTTTAATGCACAATTCCCTAGGAAAAATTTCATTTCTCAGTCTCCAAATTATATATGAGAATACAAATTAAAAATATAAATTTTCTCTACAGTGAACACTGAAGCTAAACTTAAAAACACCTTTGTGCAAATTTCTATTAAGAGCACAATAAACAAGTTACCACAAATTGAAATTATCTCAACTGAATGAGGGATTTTTCCTACTTAGGATTCTGGAAAAACAAGTCATTTGTGTGTATTTCTAGGTAAACAGTGATTCCTATTATATCTGTTTTGTAATTTTAAATGTTCTATTGCAGTCATATTTACATCAGATCAATTTTGAACTAAATAAACCATGAACTAAGTAATATTCAATAATCCCTTATATCTGTAAGATTCTGTGAGTCTTAAATTAATAATTAAATAATTAAATACACTAACTCTTGGGGCGCCTGGGTGGCGCAGTCGGTTAAGCGTCCGACTTCAGCCAGGTCACGATCTCGCGGTCCGTGAGTTCGAGCCCCGTGTCGGGCTCTGGGCTGATGGCTCAGAGCCTGGAGCCTGTTTCCGATTCTGTGTCTCCCTCTCTCTCTGCCCCTCCCCCGTTCATGCTCTGTCTCTCTCTGTCCCAAAAATAAATAAACGTTGAAAAAAAAAAAAAATTAAAAAAATAAATAAATAAATAAATAAATAAATAAATAAATAAATACACTAACTCTTGTATGGATGCAACTGCTTCAGGAGATATGTTGTCTTACTGTTCCCATTTTACAGATGAGGAAACCAAGATACAGAAATATTTAGTGACTTTTCCAATGTTGCATAGTTGGTAAATGGCAGAGGTGAGATTGGAGTTTGGCTCTGGATTTCATGCTCTTCCTCTTGCCTTATACTGCATATAGTAATGAAAGAGGAGTTCATGTAGGGTGTATGAGTTAAGATAGAAGAAGATGTAAGCAGGAAGAGACCTTGAGGGAAATAGCAACTCTGGGTTACATGCATGTAAACTCACTGTACCTCTTTGAACAATGTCAAGAATAGCTAACCAATGCTACTGTTACTGGACTTTAAATTTTGTTGAAGTAAATGCTCATTTAATGCAACTTGCTTAAAAATAATGCTAGTGTTAAGGAACTGGACTTAACACCTATTTATGACTTCAATATATTATATTAAACTTTTCCTATTTTAGTTGTGTCTTAGGGTGAGTGTGATTTTAATTATTGTAAAATAGAGTTCTGTTAGATGCTTTAAAAAGAAAAGGGAAAGAAATGTTTTTAAGCTTGATTTTCAAAGACATTACAAACAAAACTGTAACTAGAGACTAGAAATAAAATAAAGCAAGAAGCACTGGGAGTTTGCACCATTCTAAAATGTACTGACCAGAGGAAGGTACAAGTAAATAGACCCTTGTTGTTTGTTTGTTTTGAAGACTTATGAATGGAATTATTTTAAGTAACAAATAAAATTTATTTTACATAGTTTGATTTAAATATATGTATTTAAGACTAACACACTTTGGGATTTCTTTTGTTCATTTTCCACGTAGTACACTTCATTTTTCGAGTTTAATCATCACCTAGAGTCTATAATGGACAAGGCATATATCTACAGGTAAAGTATGACTCAGTATACTTCCAGGGGTGGCAGAGAAAGCAATGGCACAAAGTTTAGCCAGCATTTGGAAAGAATATGATATCCCTGTGAAAGAAACAGAATAATCTCAAATTTTTGGTTATATAAAATATAGGGTTATGTTCTAAAACAGACTTGAATATTTTGAAGTGAGATAAAAGCATGAAAATCATATTAGATTTTATAAGAATATAGGACTAAAAATAGAATGTATTACCTGCTTCAGTCATAACAAGTACAGATAAATGTGTTCCTTCACAAATTGATTCTGCATCTTTCTCATGACAATTCATCTTTTTTAAATGTTTATTTTTGAAACACAGAGAGAGAGAAAGACAGAGTGTGAGCAGGGAGGGCCAGAGAGAGAGGGAGACAGAATCTGAAGCAGGCTCCAAGCTCAGAGCTCTGAGCTGTCAGCACAGAGCCCCACGTGGGGCTCAAACCCGTGAACCCTGAGATCATGACCTGAGCAGAAGCTGGACACTTAACCGACTGGGCCACCCAGGCACCCCAACATGACAATTCATTTTAATCTGAATTTCATTCATTTGCTGTCCTGAACTTCACTTGCACAGAAGACTTCTAGTCACTATTAATCGTAGCGTAAAGTCCCACGAGCTTTTCAGAGATATCCAGTTAAATCAGCGTGGCGTATTTTATGGGACTCAAAGTGGAGAGGTGACCCTCGAGGCATGTCTTTCAGGGAGTTGATTCATACCATCTGTGAAAAGAGACGAAGGGTTTTGTTTTTTTTTTTTTTTTTACACTCTGTCAGTCCCAGTGAAGACATTGCAGTTAGAAAACATGCAATGGCACCATCATTTTATACTGTACTAACGAGAGTTAACAGTTCACAAATTTAAAGCAAGGAGATTCAGTGGAGACTTTAAGAAAAAGAAAATGTTAAAATAGGCTGTATTCCAGAAACAACATGAGCGTCTCTTTGCATTTATTCTCCTTGGCAGAGTCATTCGAACAACTGGATACTTGCTGTTTACTCTGCACATTAATGCCTGTATTTATTACTGGGCATCAGACTATGAAGGAATTGGAACTACTAAATGGGTGTATGATGGTGAAGGAAACAAGTAAGTTTTAATTTGAAGGAAACATGGATTCTTAACTTTCTGTTTCAGTGTACATGTTTCCTTAAGCTAGTGTTTTTGAAACTGTAAGTCACAATCCATTAATAGGCAGTATGTTTCTAAGTGAAAGAAAATAAAGCAGAGGAGAATAAAATAGAAACTATCAGTCTGTCATACCTAGTAGATGTGTGTGTGTGTGTGTGTGTGTGTGTGTGTGTGTGTGTGCGCGCGCGCGCGCGCGTGCATCCTGGGTTGACCTGGGAAATGCATTTCTTGCTCTGGATTATGATCAGAAAAGTTTGAAAGCCTCTGCTTTAGACAACTGAGTGATAAGATAACTTTTAATAACTCCAGTGCTGAATGAACAATGTTAATTATTTGGAGGTCAGGTGAGGTAGCTAATTAGTTTACCACTGAAGGGTTTTATGGGTTTATGAGTCAGCTATAACAACTAACTCAATTAAATACTTACAGAGTAACAAGGACCATAAATTAAACTTGACAATTAGATATGCAAGTATCACAGGAATAAAAGAGATCATTTGAAAAATTTAGGGCAGTAGAATCAGGACTCAGGAATGGCAACTAGGTTATTTAATAGTGAGATTTCCTTTTGGTAGATACAAGAACCTGGCATAAAGTAGACTCCCCTAACTTTCTGCTCCAATGAAGTGACATTGAGCATATTATAAGGCAATGTCCTTAATGGAAAAGGGCAGGTCCCAGCATGACTTTGAAGAGCAACTCACAGCAGCCTTGGGAAAGAAAGCAATTATAGGAGTGAAGATACCTCACAAAATTACACACTACCTAGAGTGAGCGGAATATGTGTGAGGGATTAAAACAACATTTTTTTGAACTTTTAACCAGAACTGATGTTAGAAATTTAAAGTCAGAAGGCTCACTGACTGGGAAAACATATCACACACACACACACACACACACACACACACACACACACACGCACACACACACACTCACACACAGAATATCTATTCCTGGAAAGTTTATAACAAAATCTACAAGTAATTTCCTTTAGAATGTGGATTAAGTATATATTTAGTTTAATATAAATGATGAATTTATATAGAAAAATGAGTAAGGCACCAACTGTATTAAATAATGCCTAAAAGTGAGTGTGTAATCTAACATTATTAGCAGCCTCAGTCTGATAACACTACTTATCAAATCAGCAAGATAATAGAGATGCATCAAAATGCCTTCCAGAAAAAGTGGAACTAATTCTCTTTTCACACCTGGATGTCTCTCTGCAGCATTTCTAGAGACTATATCTTGTTCCCAGGCCTAGAACACTGTTAAGTATATTAAAACACTTACTATATGTTAAGTACTTAAAGAAGGCAGGGAAGAAGAAAGGAAGTAAGCAAAAAGAGGTAATGATCAGATCTGTGTTATAACAAGAAAAAAGAAACCAGCTTCAACCCATAAGAAATTTAAGCTAATGTTTGCTAACATTTTAGACTTATAATTCCCACTCTAGTGCAGACCAGATATCCAAAGCACCTCTTCTCTAAAAGACAAAATATATTATTTATAATTTTTGTCATAAAATTACTTGTTATAATATACATTTCTAAATAAATTACAGTAAAGTAGTTTTCAATAATTATTGAATTCTCTACAAAGTAAAAAGAGTCTCCAAAGTCTAAAAAATAAATGTGTATAATAACTTGGAGCAGAATGGTGAGATAGCCACTGTGGAACAGAAATAAAGAACATAACTTCTTACTCAGTAGAAGGGGGAAAAAGGAATGAAAAAACTAAAAAAAAAAAAATTTTAACAAGTCCAAAAAATAAAAAAAAAAGGCAAAAACAAAGTAAGGAAGTTCTGGGGAGAAATATAGAAAATAGAAAAGCAGAAAGGCAAAACAACACAAAATAAGATAGTAGAAACAACTTAAAATATACCAATAAGCACAGTAAATTAATATGGACTAAATTCACTAACTTAAAGAGATTGCCAATTAATAATAGTCAGAATAGACTTTAAAACAAAAATTATTCTAGGGGCGCCTGGGTGGCTTAGTCGGTTAAGAGTCTGACTTCGGCTCAAGGTCATGATCTCGCGGTTTGTGAGTTTGAGCCCCGCGTCAGTCTCTGTGCTGACAGCTCAGAGCCTGGAGCCTACTTCGGAATCTGTGACTCCCTCTCTCTCTGTCCCCTATCCGCTCATGCTCTGTCTCTGTCTCTCAAAAAATAAATAAATGTTAAAAAAATTTTTTTTAATTATTGTATATAAAAATATTACCATAAAATGGTATAAATTTCAATTCACCATCAGTATATCCCAATTCTAAATGTGTATATGCTAATAAAATACTTACAATAAATCAAAGAAAGTCATAGAGCAAAAATTAATAGAAGGAAGAGAAATTGGCAAATGTGCCATCAAAGTGTGCGGTATCAACACACAACTATTTATTGACCAAGCAACCAAAACAATTAGTAAAGATATAAAAGATTTGAGAACCCACTTACCAAGCTTGATTTTTTTTTATGCTTCTAGTTTTACTTAAATTCTAGTTACTTAACATATAATGTAACATTAGTTTCAGGAGTAGAATTTAGTGATTCATCACTTATATACAACATTCAGTGCTCATCACAACAAATGCCTTCCTTAATATCCATCACTCATTTAACCCTTCCCCCCACCCACCTCCCTTCCAGCAACCCTCAGTTTTTTCTCTATAGTTAAGAGTCTCTTTTATGGTTTGCCTCCCTCTTTTTTTCTTTCCCCTAATGTTCATCTATTTTGTTTCTTAAATTCCACATGAGTGAAATCATATGGTATTGGTCTTTCTCTGACTAACTTATTTTGTTTAGCATAATACACTCCAGCTCCATCCACTTCACTGCAAATGGCAAGATTTCATTCTTTTTCATGGCTGAATAATATTACATTATACATATATATATTACATCTTTATCCATTCATCAGTCACAACTTATTTATCCATTCATCAGTCAATGGACATTTGCGCTCTTTCCATATTTTTGGCTATTATTGATAATGCTGCTATATAAACATCAGAGTGCATGCACCCCTTCAAATCAGCACTTTTGTATCCTTTTGTATAAATACCTAGTAGTGCAATTGCTCAGTTGTAGGGTAGTTCTATTTTTAAATTTTTGAGGAACTTCCATACTGTTTTCCAGTGTGGCTGAACCAATTTGCATTCCCACCAACAGTGCAAAAGGGGTCTCCTTTCTCCACATCCTTGCCAACATCTGTTGTTTCCTGAGTTGTTAATTCTAGCCATCCTGACAGGTGTGAGGTGGCATCTCATTGTGGTTTTGATTTGTATTTCCCTATGATAAGTGGTGTTGAGCATCTTTTCATGTGTCTGTTAGCCATCTGGATGTCTTCTTTTGGAAAAGTGTCTGTTCATGTCTTCTACCCATTTCTTCACTGGATTTTTTTGGGTTTTGGGTGTTGAGTTTTATAAGTTCTTTATAGGTTTTGGATACTAACCCTTTATCAGATATGTCACTTGCAAATATCTCTTCCTGTTCCAAAGATTGCCTTTTAGTTTTGTTGATTGTTTCCTTCACCCTGTGCAGAAGCTTTTTAAAACAAGCTTAATTTAACAGATAAAAATAGCTCTTTGCACCCAAGAATTAGAAAACACCCATTCTTTTTAATCATTCATGGAAAATTACAAAAAGTGGTAGTTTTCTTGCCAATAGGCAATTTTCACTACATTTCACAGCATTGGTATCATACAGCCCACATTCTCTGATTATCAAGATAAGAATTACTTCATAGGCTCTGCTCTGCTCATTGAAGGGTTCTTACTCAAAACCTAAGCTCTAATAATCCTATTACCAGCTGTCAGGGGCACATGTATTTTGTATATGTTTTATATGTATTTATAATATATAAATGCTGCTGCATTTTTATATATTGTAAGATTGCATATGGTAGTTATTAACATACTTACATTTTCCTTGAAGTTTTTAAACATCACCATCCACTACTATGCCCCTTCTATCTCTTCATAATACTCTTGGCTTTGTAAGCCCAAAACATTTCTTACTTAACCCTTGTGATAGTTTCTGATGACCTATAAAGTGAAGGTTGTTCATGAGGCCACTGGACTCATATCCTTTGCCCTCATTAGAATTAGGCAGCAAATTGTGGATCATAAGTACAACATTGTGAACAATTAAAAGAAGAGTCAAGTTTAATTCTATTCCATTAATCCTTACCAGAATAATAATGTCTGTTCATTTCAATAGAAGACAAGGAGTCATTTTCATTCATATTGAATAGATGGCATCCTTCATTCAACTGTGAAATTTGACAAAGAAGGAAAAGGCTTAGCTCAAAAAGAAAACGTAAGTAGTTAAGGTTATTTGGAACACAGAAATATCCCCAATGTACCTTTGTCCTTTGTCCATGTATACCACAGTTTAGTCATTTACTGGCATAAATTTCCCAGTGTCCACAAATGTCTTAAATGCCTAACCCCAATCCTTAAAATATATACCTTCAAATGCAAGAGTAGAAACCATGCAAAGCTGTCATGGGAATCATGATTTTCGACAGGGTAAGGAAGGAATGAATTTACTATACCATAGTGCTAGGGAAATTTAGGGCAACTTACCACCCTTCATTCTACACATAAAGATGATGAGACTGAGATAGATGAAGGTAATTATTCAGGATCTCCTATACTTCAGTTCAGAAACCGACAGGGAAGGAAGGAAGGAAGGAAGGAAGGAAGGAAGGAAGGAAGGAAGGAAGGAAGGAAGGAAGGAAGGAAGGAAGGAAGGAAGGAAAGGAAGGAGGGGAGGGGGAGGGGAGGGGAGGGAAAAGAAAAAAGAAAAGAAGAGAAAAGAAAAAAGAAAAGTCTTCACACTAGACACTACACACCCTTTGGATGTAACAGAAACATACCAGAACAGCAACGAGTTTAGTGGACCAGAAAGGAGAGGAAAGGCAGCTGGCAGCATGACAGGGAGGAGTCTGGAAGGAG